CTAATGCAATAAATTCAATCCTTATAAAGAAGTTCTTGAGAACAATCAGCATAGTGTTGAAGATCAAAAAATTGCTTTAATCTGAAATCTTTATTATGGGTATAGACAAGATTACTTTGCATAAATATTATGCTAACTTTGAAACTTAGTAATAATAATCTTGATAACATTAGCAGATGAGCTTTTCAGGAGTACTATACTGATTTTTTTTAATCTTTGTCATAATTGACTTGGATTAAAAAAAGGAAAAGCATCTGCCACTTTGCAAGAACACTACTCTAAATATTTAAAAGCATTAGCAGATCGCTTTGTAAGAATACTATACTGATTTCTTTAAATCTTAATAATAATATCTTGAATCAGAATAAGAAAAAAGCATTAATCGATATATTTTACTAGAATATCATATTAATTTTTCTAATCTCCTTGATTAAGAAGAAAAATTATTAATAAATGCATTTTGCAGAAATGCTACTCAGATTTTTTATGTAATAATATTTTAAAATCATATTTTATATTAAAAGGATCCATTTTGATGAATTTTTAAAAAATTTTTTATTTGTATTTTGAATAGATATGTATTCAATAAAAAAGTTCACTATAAATAACAGAAGCTAATTATATAAATATTTGAAATCATTATTAGTTGCACTATATTTTAATATTAAATTCTTGAATAAATTTAGATCTTTAGCAAGTGACGGATTACATCTAGTTATAATAATATATTTGGATCTCATCAATATTCAGGCAAACTATAGATAAGAGGATGTTCATTTAAGAGATTATTATAAGTATCTGAATAAAAATGACTTATTAGCATAAATAAAATTGTTTAATGCTATTAAAACTCCTACTATAGCAAAGTTTTGAAGTATATACATTTTTTGCATTTATTCTTCTCAACATTTATAACAATTCTATATTTTATTAACTTTTTTATAGTAGCAGATTATAGGTAATGAATGCTATTAAAATCATATAACCATATTAGCAAACTTCTGAATTAAGAAAACACTTAGTTAAATGTACAGATAATATTTTTTTAATTTGATATTTTATAATTCTATACAAAAAAAAAATTTGTCTATATACAATTGATATATTGACTATATTAACTACTAATTGTTATTTGACTATACAAAATTGATTAATTGGCTTTTATAACCTAATTAGATCAAATTTTAAAAGTTTATAAAAAAATTTTATAAAATTTTATGTATAAAATTTTAAAAAAAAAGCCAGTTAGTGAGTCAGATTAGTTCAAAAGTTTCATGCTATGAAACCAAGTTTTTTTCTTTCAAATAGATGCCCTTAGGCATAAAACCAAGATATTAAATCTGTATGACCTTATTTAATATAAATTTTTATTAGAATCAAAATTGAATAACTATTATATTTTCTAAATATTAAATATATTTACCTCTAGCGATTATTTGTTGAAAAGGGACACAGGGTAAAATAAATCTATAATGTCTTTGAAAAGATCTTATATTATTAGAATTTTTGTTTAAATCAACTTCATGGAGTTGTGATAGATTTGATGCATTCATTTGGGCTATGACTAGTCTTAAAACAAAATAATAAAATTAAAATAAAGTATTATATAAATTATAGTTTAAAGGCATTTTATTAGTAGATTTCAGTTCTTACTATTTAGAAAATTCTTCTGAGTTTGTTACAAATTTACAAGTGATGGTCCCACATTGAAAAACACGATTATTCTCTTTTAACTCTAATTGTGACCAACTAAAGGTAACTTTGTAGGAGCTATCATTATCTATAAACAAAATGTAACCTTTAGTTTTTAATTTTAGGTCTTGTCGAACATTCAAATAATCATAATTGACTAATTGCTTAAGTCTTTGCTCGTCAGCTTCACTCTGAAATGAACAAGAATATTTTTATTATATAGAACTATACTGGAAAGAAGACTCATTCTCAAAAAAGTAAACAAATATATTTTCAGAAAAGGTGTTAATTGAAACTTGTTTTGTGCCTAGAGAATGTTTATTAAAGCCAAGTTATTTTTTTATAAGAACTATAAATGCATTCTGATAAAATATGATTTGTTTAAGAGAAGGTTGGGTAAGTAAATAATGGTAAGGTATAATTTGTTATTTTGATGCCTAATTCTTTCATGAATTACAAGCTTTTTATATGAAGAAAAAATTTTATTACAAAGTTGACAATTATTAATCATTGAAGTTCTATCTCATTTATTGATATCAATATGTTTATTATTGGTTAATCTATTTTTAGATATCATGAATATCATGTTCAAATTCATGTAATATATTCGAATTTCTAAAATCTACCCATATGGATTAAGAAAATTCAAAACAAACTTTCATTGTCAAAAATTGCTTATTTCTCAAAAATCAGTATAAGTAATCACCTTTAGTCTTTAAAAAAAGTTTTTGTTGATAAATTTTACTGTATAAATTATTCCTAAACTTGATCATAACCTCAACATAAACAAGCTTTAAAGAATTTTTGCTACAACACGAACATGACACATATTCAAATAATGCAAAATTCTTTAAAACTTATTACATTCATACTTAAGTTAGAATTAACAAGATGTTGAATTGTTTGGAAAAAATTTTAACAATATAAACAACTTTGACAAAACAAATAGTTGCTTTAAATATTTATGTTCATGTCATGTTATATATGATCCTAAAAATTAATTTGTCTTTTGGGATCTTTGCCTCATACTTTACATGCCTAATAGTGCAACAACCTTATATATATTTACTGATATCATCATGCAGCTATCTTATTACATAATGTCAGAGGTAAAACTAACACTTGAGAAGTGATCATCATTGTGGCATACTTACCTAATTGGTGGTGCTATGATAATCTACTTGAAACATGTGTGCCCAGCCCCAAGAAAGCCATATAACAGTAACAAGCCTCTATGCAGGACCTCACCACTTCCCCTCCTAATTAAAAAAAGGTTGACCTGGACCAACCTGTTTGCAGTGAGAATGGACATTGACTTCACCTACCCTACTTGGGTTAGGTGTAAGGTGATGTCAAGGGGGGTGCGATTGTAGACAATATGATGAGTTCTGGTCTCAAGATAGTAAACTAAAACATTTTTTATCAGTTTTATTAAGAATGTGAGAAATGTTAAAGTAATGAAAGGTTGTGTGAAAGGGGTTAAAGGTTGGAAAATGATGATAACAATGAGAAGAGTCATGGTCTTGTGCATGCTCTTCTCTTAGTCAATTTATTATAAAAAGGGTGGAATTTCTCTCTCCCAAAAGATAGATCAGTCCAGTTCAAGTGCTATATAGCTCAGTAAAGTCCATAGTTGTATTGCCCTAAAAAAATAATAATAAATTATTATTAATAAAGCCTTCTTGAACCGCCAATACAATAATACTCCTTAAAAATCGTAGTTCTTATCTTGTAATGCTCCTTAAAAGATAGTCTCGACTAGGGATGTCAACAGTTTGGTCATGACTATGACCAATACCAGTTTGGTCACAAATCCTGACTGACTGAACCGACCATTTGATTGATACTATATTTTGTTATTTATTATTGTAATAATCTGTAAAATAATTGTCATGATACAAAAATAGGTTTGATTATAAGTATTGTGCTAAACTTATTGTTATATACAACTTTAACCAATTAGTTAAATGCTATTTAATAAATATTCATATATTGTATAACGATTATACTTGGAAATAATAATTAACAACATTTTTATCATATATATATTTATTATATTTATATTTTTTTTTAATCTCTATTATTGAATTAAATTTATTCTATAAAACATATTACATTATTAACTATATATTATATTATTA